TGAGCTGAAAAGACGTGAGTCGGAGCCCACTGTCTCCTCCTCGCATGAGAGAGTGTATGGAGCTAAAGGACGTGTACAAATGGACTCCCCCTCTGCTGAGGAGCCTATGCAAATGGGGAGAACTCGTCTCTCTCAGGAAGAGAGAAAGAGCATCGGATCAGGTCAGGACTGTGTTTGGATGGCTGGACATTTTTGAAGCACTTGCCCCACTCTGTCAAAAGGGGGAGCCCACCAGTAAAACCGGGACTACGGTGGGGGGTTTCAGACTCTGCTAGCTCTCGGTGTTCTTTTCCCTGTATTTTGATGATTGATTCTAGACAGATATCTCTCGAGGCTCTCCTGGACTCTGGATGTGAGCAGTCTCTTTTAGACCCTCAGCTGGTGACAAAATGGAGGATTCCCACTACCAGGTTGTCTAAACCTCTATCTGTCTCCTCACTGGATATCCGAGGTCTGTCCACAATCACCCACCAGACTGTACCCATCCGCCTGTTGGTGTCAGGTAATCACTCAGAGACTTTGAGCTTTTATGTGTTTCCCTCACCTCAGTCGCCACTAGTTTTGGGACATTCGTGGTTGGTTCGCCACAATCTCATCCTGGACTGGAGAGAAAATAAGATTTTAGGATGGAACCCTGAATGTTCCCAAACATGTTTAAAATCTTGTCTCCTCGCTCACTCGCAGTCCTCCTGCGCCTCCTATGGAGGATATTGATCTATCTTCTGTCCCTCAGATCTACCACGACCTCAAGCTGGTTTTTAGCAAGGATCGCGCATCTTCTCTGCCTCCACATAGGCCTTTTGATTGCGCCATCGACTTGCTACCTGGGGCCCCACTGCCATCTAGCCGTCTCTATAATCTCTCCAAGCCTGAGAGGGAGAGCATGGAGAAGTATATCCAGGACTGTCTTGCTGCAGGTACCATTCGATCTTCCTCTTCCCCCCTGGGTGCTGGGTTCTTTTCTGTGCCTAAGAAGGAAGGAACACTGAGACCCTGCATAGACTATAGAGGTTTGAACCAGATCACCATTTGCAATAAATATCCACTGCCTCTACTCTCCTCCACTTTTGAACCTATCCAGGACGCAGCCATTTTCAGCCGACTCGATCTCAGGAACGCCTACCACCTGGTGAGGGTGAGGGAGGGGGACGAGTGGAAGACTGCATTCAAGACTCCATTGGGACATTTCGAGTACCTGGTAATGCCATTCGGATTAACAAACGCTCCCGCTGTTTTTCAATCTCTAGTGAACTCGGTTCTGGGTGATTTTATGAACAAGTTTGTTACAGTTTATCTCAATGACATTTTGATTTTCTCAAAGACCATGGAACAGCACACCCAACACGCGAGAGCTGTACTTTAGCGTCTCCTCGAAAACAGACTTTATGTTAAAGCTGAGAAATGCAAGTTTCATGTCATCACAGTTAAATTGTTAGGTTACGTCATTGAGAGCGGGCGTTTGAAGGCAGATCCAGAGAAGGTCAAAGCAGTAAAGGAATGGCCCACTCCATCGACCAGAAAACAACTTCAGAGGTTTTTGGGCTCTGCTCATTTTTATCATTGATTTGTAAGAAATTATAGTCAGACAGCAGCTCCACTTACCAGTCTCACCTCAGTAAATAAGCCTTTTGTATGGTCCTCAAAAGCCGAATCTGCCTTCCAAACTCTGAAGGAGAAGTTCTCCAACGCCCCATCCTGCACCGTCCGGATCCTCAGCGACAGTTCAGGCTGGAAGTAGATGCTTCAGACACAGGAGTGGGTGCTGTGTTGTCTCAAGTGTCTGCCAAGGACCAACGCCTCCACCCATGCGCCTTCTTCTCGCGGCGCCTCACCCCAGCAGAGAGTCGCTACGACGTGGGTGATCGTGAGTTGTTGGCAGTAAAGCTGGCAATAGAGGAATGGAGGCATTGGCTGGAGGGGGCAGAGAATCCGTTCATCATCTGGACTGACCACAAAAAGCTGGTTTACCTCAAAGAAGCCAAGCAATTAAATCCCCGCCAGTACCGCTGGTCTCTTTTTTTCTCACGATTTAACTTCCAGATCTCTTATCGCCCCGGTTCCAAGAACACCAAGCCAGACGCCCTATCCAGACAATACGCTCCTAATCAGGAAGCAGAGCCTGCTACCATCCTACCTCCTGACTTTATCCTCGGAAGTGTTACGTGAGAGATCAGAGACCAGGTTTTGGAGGCCCAAAGGAGGGACCCTGGTCCCAACCACGGTCCTCCGGGGAAACTGTTCGTTCCTCAGTCCATGCGGAGTAAGGTAATACACTGGGCACACACAGGCAAGTTTTCCTTACATCCAGGAGTAGGTCGAACCGTGGCACTCATAAGACGGACCTTCTGGTGGCCCTCCATCTTCAATGACACCAAGAGCTATATCTCAGGCTGCCATACATGCTCACAACAAAAGGGGGGCCATCGCCTCCCAGCCGGTCTTCTCCATCCACTTCCCACTCCATCTCGCCCCTGGTCTCACATAGCCTTGGACTTCGTATGTGGTCTGCCTAGTTCAAACGGTTTCACCACTATTCTCACCATTGTCAACCGATTTTCTAAGGCTTGTCATCTGATCCCACTTAAATCTCTTCCCTCTTCCGCAGACACAGCACAGCCAGAGCCGGATTAACGCAAAGGCAAAGTAGGCACGTGCCTAGGGCCTGATTGGCTGGATGGGGCGCAGACAGAGGGACAAAATAAAAAAATAAAAAAATAAAAAATAAAATGTACAAATGTCCTATGATAGAATTTGTAGATAGGACTCCTATCTACAGTTTATTTCAATATTTATTAATTAACTAAAACAAGGGACGATATTTATCTTAACCATAGACTGTTACATTAGCTACGTCACATTAACGCCAGCCCTTGACTGTAGCCTACAACTTGGGCACCACCCAATTAAGGATGTCAGAGAAACGGTCAGAGTCAGAGCGGGACACAACAATGCTAGCAGGTGTTTTTGAGTAGGCTAATTTTCACGATGCTTTCTGGTGCGGCAAAATGTAAAAAGAAAAAAAATGAAGAGGAACAAAAGAAGAGACAGCGGGGGGCCTTACAGACGTTTCTGTCGGGCTGCTCGAGCAGCCATCCGACAGCTGTGAACCTGCTCGAGTCAGCAGAGCCAGAGGACGGGCCCGAGCAAGACCCGGAGGAGACACAACCTGAAGATGCGGCGGAAGGCAGGGCCGGCTTTGGCGACAGGCGACACAGGCGGCCGCCTGGGGCGCCATCTGATGGATAGGGCGCAAAAAAAAAAAAAAAAAAAGTTTATTACATTTATGTTTGTAATATGAAATGCACTCTCTACATACTCAAAATTCCCCTCTGAAATGACATGAAATTAAAACATCAATATTTAAATTCTAATGATCTGGCTGCATGATGAGCTCCCGCTTGAGCCACCGCTCCGATGCATTTGACCGTTAAGGGTGCCGTAGATCACGTGCGTGGGCAGCACTGTAGAAGGACTTCCTGTTGTCGCGTTTAAACTTTTGATATTTTACGATGAAAAGAACACCTAAGCCATCGGGATCAGCATTCCGAAAGCGAAGGAAGGAGGAAGAATAAAAACGGGCCCAAAGCAGAGGTATGTAGACTTTATAAATTTGGCAAAGGAACTTTTTGCGTTACCATTGTAGCTAACTGCCTCTCCTGCCACGCACGGACCACGGACGGACCCTCGCTAGCTGTTTACATACACAATACAGTATCTCATAACTTTAACCAATTAATTTTACTTTTGAATCGTCGTGTCCAGATGCAGTGAGACAATATCTGCAGCCACACAGGCACCTGTTGACACCACGGGGGCGAGACTGTCTTCTACACCTGTTGAGTCTCACTGTGATGATGAAGAATGTAAGATTATTTTTTTACCGTTTTTTTGGAGCATGATTGCAGCCTTTTTATGAACTTCCATTCAAGTTTTAAGTACGCATACAATACGAATTTAATATTTTCATATCAGAAGAACGTTATGTGTGTGTAGCAAAATTTCAACTTTGTCCTTCTCATCGGGCGTGCGGCACCGCCGTGGCCGTGGTGGGGACTCCCCCGCTGACCGGCGGAAGCGGGGGGGGGGGGGGGGGGGGGGGTCCCCGCTGTCCCGCGTCGGTGTGTCCTTGTTTAATAAATGAAATCCTCAGAGTGCCACAGATCACCGGTTCTTCTTCCTCATTTTCTACAATTTATTTGATGCTGAAGAGCACCATACATTTTTTTCAAATATTCCCCATGGATGCGCTCACTTCCACCTGTTTTTGATAATTTTATTCATGTTTTCATAGAACAGATTAAAAAAAGATCAATAAATTAAAAAGTCCAGTGACATTAAAAATAATGAAAAGCATCACTGCACATGACTGAGGAATACTGAATGTGAAAGTGGCACTGTTCTTAAGTGATTCATGCATCAGAGGGTTAAGTTGCTTTGTTTGTGTGTGTGTGTGTGTGTGTGTGTGTGTGTGTTTGTGTGTGTGTGTGTGTGTGTGTGTGTGTGTGTGTGTGTGTGTGTGTGTGTGTGTGTGTGTTTATTTTCTCACAGAAGAAGAACACAACACCAGCAGACTCAGGCCCTGTCCACACGTAGCCGGGGATCTGCCAAAACTTAGATATTTTTCTACGTTTTGGCCTGTCATCCACACGAAAACGGAGTTTTTTCACACGAAAACGGATCTTTTTAAAAACTCCGGCCAAAGTGAAGATCTGCGTTTTCTCCGTTTTGGGTGTCTGCGTGTGGACAGACAAAACCGGAGTTTTAAGGTCCGCAACGTCACTTTCCGCGACAAAAAAATGCTGACATCACGTGTGCGACCTGTGTTTACACTAGCCGACAGCATGGATGCCCTCAGAGCTGCGCTCGCTTTATCAATTGTCCAAGCGCTTTCTGCTTGTTTGTTTTTGCAAGCGGAATTACTGCGCCTTGCGGAAGACCCAAGCCCCCACAATGCCGCTCTGAAAATGGTCCCATCCCGGAAGTAAGAAAAATTGCAGTTCCACCCTCATCCACTGGGGGCTGGTGTCAGAAGCGAGCAAATCCTCATTGACTCCCATGTTAAAAATGCCGATTTCACAGCAGAAATAAACATGTTTACAGCCTGGTACCAAAACATGTTTTTTGTCTAAATTATCTAGTTTATACTCATGACAACTTTGAGGGGGGTGAATTTTTTTCTCACTCTTCTGTTTAAGTGTATTGAAAGCCTAAAATTCTGTATAATTAATGAGCATCCGACACACGTGACCGCCGCCTCAGACCCACGTGACCACAGAGCTAGCTCCGTGGAAAGGCCTCAGTACAGCCTCGGCCCCTCCTGGAAGCTGTTTCGGGATTTTGAGTCTCTGTGCTTGTGAATTCTGTTTTGGATATTATTTGTGCAATTGTTGGACAAAATGACTTGCAGTGGTATTAATTGCACTAATAGAGCGTCCAAGGAGTCTCCACTTCATTTTTTTTTCGGTAAGTTAAAATCTATATTCGTATTTTATGTCACTGCTGCCTTTAAACTAGCTGAGTTTACCGAAGTAGCTAGCTAACTATCAGTTTAACATGTAGCATGTACTGTTTAACCATGAAATTTAAATGTAAAATACGGTAAAATAATTAATAGGGCATATTTAGATGGGTAATAGGGTAAAACCCAGTGCATTTAAGATAAAAATGGGTTGAAATATGACGGAGCGCTAAGAGGGAGACTTCTGTGTCCATTCTTCCATCCGGTAATCCCCAGCGGTCATGCCGGGCAGCCTGACCGATCCGGCGCCTACTTGCTGCGCCTAGCTGCTGCGCGGTCTGACCGCTCGTGGAGTTTTTCATGTCTGACTTTAACCGCATCTAATACTGTATTACGGCGTGAGCGCAACAGCGACAACTTAATATCGATGTGTAAGCAGCCTGAGTGTGAAAATGTATGTATCTACCTTATAAGCTTCTTTTATATTTACCTTATAAGCTCATTTGTATTACTCTATGCTATGGACACTTGCTCAGATACTCAAGGCCTCTACACATAGATTTACAGCAGCATGTTCTGTTCTGCAACCTTGAAGGGAGTGAGCACGTTCCAGCTCCTCTCACTTTCCTCTCGGCACCGGTGAAATGTATCTTCATGTATCAGGATGTTCCTAGTAATCTCAAGGATGCATGTTCTAGTGATGTATTAACTGTCCACTAACAAGGCTATTATTTTTCACCTGTCATGACCATTGACGTATGTACATGGCAAACTGCGTATGTAACATTCCTGTAATCTTCAATAAAAATCAGCCGTTTTCAGCAGAACGGCGAGAGTCTGTCCGAAGCAACTGTCAGGAGCAGATCGCGGGACCTGCTGGCAGTTGTAAAGGCTCTCCCCCTCTCGAGCGGTGAAACAGTGACTGGACTTCTCTGATCATTTGACTCCACATTCTGCCAACTCAAAAGGTGTTTAACTCCATCTTCTCCGTACCCGTGCTTGGTCTAACAGAAGAAAGACCAACAAAATTTGGCGTCACGAACAGGATTTTTTCTTTTTGAAGAAAAAGGAGTTTTTGGAGGACGATTCGACCAACCGACCCAGTGAACGATCTTGGCACAAAACACCGCGGTGAAAAACTAAGGTAAGCAGGCCTTATTTTCTAAAATCTGCTCATTGGATTTATCCAAAGCCTTTGTGTCCAGAATCATAGTAGCTGTGGTCCTAAAATAATAGTTGGAGAAGAAAGTGGAGACAAGTGCAGAAAAAATAAAAGATTTTTGTAATGGTTTAATGGTAAAATAAAATAAGGATTTTTACATGGTTTAATGATAAATGAGATAAGGAAATAGTACAGAAGAGGGGTTGGAGACCCAGGGTTATTAGAAAAGCCCTAAAATCCATTTTCCAGGTCGTGGCTGACCACACTATTTGCTGACGAGTGAATAGAAAATATAACGAGGTTATATTAAGCTAGGGTAAGGCCTTAGGGGTGGGAACCCTAAAATACTGCAGGTCAGGGACCTGGTTCGAGTTAAGGCCCTGGGAGGCTAGAGAGAGAGCTCCCTAAATTTTATAGCACAGGTCGAGGACCTGGTTCGGGTTAAGGGCCTGGGAGGCTAGAGAGAGAGCTCCCTAAATTCTAAAGGTCGAGGACCTTTGCATGAGATGAGAAAAATGTTTTTAACTGTTTTTGCATAAAATGAGCAATGTTTTTGGCTGTTTCTGCATGAAGTGAGCAGTGCTTTTGGCTGTTTCTGCATGAAATGAGCAATGTTTTTGGCTGTTTCTGCGTGAAATGAGCAATGTTGTTGTGAAACTGTTTTTTCTTTTTTTTGACACAAAACACACGCTATAGTTAGAGAACACGCTGTATGAATGTCAAGTCTCAATCAGCTTTGTCGGTAAAACAGATGGAGCTGACTGATTAACTTGAATTACATAATAAAAGAGACAGAATAAACTCCAAATGAGAGTGAATAAGTCTCTTTAGGCTTAGCAAACATATTATCTGCTCTCACAAGTGCAGAATAGTAAGGATAAGTGTAAAAACACATAGATTTTTCATATCACAGCTAATAGGGATTAGTTGAATAAGCGGTGATCACCACACCCACCGCAGTTAAGATGGGTAACGAATGAATGAACTGTACTAACAAATTGTATGTGTAAGTGAGAGAAATACAGCGCACCTTTGTGGATGCTCTAGGCAAGATTTCCTCACCTGAAATATGGTTGAAGAAGGAAATACCACAAAGGTCATTGGCACTGTCTCACTAATTAATACTGGTGAGTTAGAGCCCCCTATGGGCTGAAACCCTCGTCAGTCCAAATTGTCACCAAAATCAGCAACATACTAACAGAATGATGGAAAAAGAATATGATTGTGGAACGGAGGATGATGGATGGGGACCTAATGACATTCTGAGTACACTGGGAGAGCAATTAGCTTGCAGGGAGACTGTAATAAATTTGACAAGTAGCCCAGTTGAAGCCACGAGAAATAAGGTTTTATTGAGAAAGTCAGCAGAAAAGGCGATGAAGGAAAAAGGAGTAGATGTTAACAGCAGAGGTAACTGGAGCAAGATTTGGGAAGTGAAGGCTGCAGAAGCGAGAGATAAAAGGCAGGAAGCTGCAGAGACTCTGAGGGAAGCTGGAGTGTTGACAAGAACGAAAGTAAAAAGTGAGGTTGACAAGCAGGCAGCTCGTGTGAGTAAATACATGCAGTGGATAATGTTATGGAACGCCGCCAGGCCCAACATGAAAAAAGTGAAGAAGGAAAATAAATCTCCACCTCCTTATTCTTCTACTACTGCTCCGCCAGCTGGAATGTATCCATTAATTAAAGTTACAAGCGGTACATTGGACATTCAGCCTGAAGTCCCGCTTGATAATATGAGTGAGTGGTCAAGTGTAACTAGGACCTCAGGATCAGACGTTAAAGTCAGGCCCTCAGCCCCTGAGACACATAATCCTTTTCTGATAAGCAATGAAACATTAAACAGCAGTCCGTCTGCAACCAGCCCAGCTGCACCGTTCGAATTAAGAGCTAAACGACAGGAAATAGATAACTCACAAAAACAATTCACCCCTCCCTACTTCAATCAGGGCCTGGTCGCACCTGACTATAGCACGGGTATGAGCTCCCAGGCTCCCCCTCCAGCGCCTTGGGCAAACTGTCCACCAGTATGGCCTAAAGCACCAGATAAAAAGCAAACACCAATTTTTGCATCCTCCCAGTTAAAAGGTGAAGAGCAGGAAGACCCTAATAAAAGTGTAGTGGTTAAGATGGTTCTGGTGGGGCATGAATCATCTGATCCCCCTCCAGCAGCCAGTCAGAGCCATGAATCTCTCCTAGAGGAGGAATGGCCGAAGCCGCCCACTAAGGAAGAGTTTGGGGGAGAAGGGGATTTGCTTTCCCGCCCTCAGTCCCCAGAACCAGAAAGAAGACACACTAGGTCCATGGGACCACCCACTTACCAATTACCCCTGGTGCAGAATAAACCCAACGCCCAGAAAGTCTATCAGCCGTATTCCCTTGGGGACATTCAGGCTTTAATAGATAAATTACCAGACATACAGGAGGGTGGAAACACTTGGCTCTCAGACTTTGACACCCTCACTGCTGGACAGGATCTTGCATTGGGAGACTTCAGAGCAGTAATCACTAGATGCACGTCACGCTCACAGGCGGAGGCCTTAGAGAAGGATGCTGGCACAACTCGTGATTCTAATTCTGTACCTCTCGGTAGAGTGATAGCTCAATTAGGCCCAGCAGTCAGAAGGATGTTTCCGCTGAAAGATAGCAGCTCAATGTGGAAATTTAAATGGGATGCCAAACAAAATCCTTCAATTTACCTGAACCAAGCCATTGACACCTGGGTGGCCCAAACTGGCCAACACCCATCCAAACGGGGCACGAGCAGTATGTGGTTTAAAAATGCAGTCCTGAAAGGAGTCCCTGACTCGGTGACTCAGAAAATGGAGGACAACCCTGATTTGCAGGATTGTGATTTTAGCAAGTGGAAAAAACATCTTATTTTTAACCTTAATAAAATGCAGGTAAAGGAAGAAAAAGACTCTGATAACTTAGAAGATTTACAAAAACAATTGCTCAGGGTCCAATTACAAGCTGCAAAAAAGACTTTAGGTGAAAAGGGGGACAAGGTTAAGAAACAAATGGTTGCGTCCACAGCCACACCCCCACCACAGCAGACACTTCCTGATCAGATTTCACCTATAGCTTGGCAGCCGCAGCCACCATATTCAGGGCAGCCACAGCCACAGCCACAATATTCAGGGCCATATGTAAACACACCCAGCCCATATGCTGCCCAGCGACCACCTTTTGCTGGTCGAACCAGAGGCGGTTTCAGGGGAAGGGGACAGTGGAGGCCAGTAGGCGGCAAAGGGGGACCACGTGCTCAAGACATTTGCTATAACTGTGGTCAACCAGGACATTGGTACAGGAACTGCCCCTTGCCATACAGCCCACAGAAGGAAGGTCGAGGCAGAAGCACCTTTTCAGGACGAGGAGGGCCTACCGGACCCCACACCCAGATGCCAATGATGGGCTGGGAACAGTGGGAGGGTGGTCCAAGACAATAGGACGCCCCACAGAGAAACTCCAACGGTCAGGGAGCCACGGCAGACCCCCTGCTGTCAATAACTGTAGATGGACAACATCAACCATTTTTGGTTGACACTGGTGCCACCTGCTCCACCATGCAAACTGTACCGCCCTCTAAGACATCTACACGCACTATCTCAGTTACGGGCTTCTCTGGGGAACAACAAACTCTGCCTTTCTCCCTGCCACTCCCAACTACGCTGGGAAACCAGACAGTACTGCACAGCTTCGTCTGTTCACCAACAGTTCCAGTCAACTTACTAGGAAGAGATCTCCTCATCAAATTAGGAGCCACCATTTTGTGTGGTCCTACGGGACTTACTGTCACTCTGCCAGAAGGGACAGAGAGAGAATTATAAGATACCTTTCGTCAAA